TAGTATTTTTATATAAAATGCTTTTCATTTCTTACAAACTGTGATTTGTTTTTTTTAGTATTTTTATATAAAATGCTTTTTATTTCTTACAAACTGTGATTTTTTTTTAGTATTTTTTATATAAAATGCTTTTCATTTCTTATAAATTGTGCTTTTTTTAGAGCATTTTTATATAAAATGCTTTTTATTTGACATATTTAAATGAAATAAAAGTTGCTTTAACTTAAATTCAGCATTGAAAACCGATTAATACACAACATGTGTAAAGACTATTAATGCTGCTAAAAGCTGTTTTTGACCTGATAAAAGGTCAAACTTTGGATTGATCCGAATCTGATTATGTGATTTTGCTTCGTCTGACTGCACCACTTTATGACATCATGATAAAAGCAGAGCGGACAGCAGCTGCGTCTCCGCTGCCTTCAGGACATTTTTTTAATATATGCCCCTGCACCGGCTTGTCAGTTTGAAAGCGAATGGCTCTTTTCGAGAAAGGCCCAGAGCCGATGCGGCGGTCAGACATGTTGCTGCACTCTGTGGGAGATTGTGTTACGGCTTAACGACAGGAAAATGTCAATGGATAAGAATGTGAGGAGTGGGCTCGGAGCGAGTGAGTTTACCAGACGTGGTCTGGCATGTTTTCAGGGTAGTGAGTGGAGGTTACATTAAGGTAAAGGGGGGGGGGGGGGTGGGGGGGGCCCCCTCCCACATCTCCTCTTTTTCAATTTGGCTCATGTCTGTTGCACGCATCAGTCATTTTGTGCACATTTCATCCCATCAGATAAGGTTTGTTGAGCTGGTTGAATCAAGTGAAATGCTGCTTAGCTCAAATAAAACTCCCCAATACACGACTCCTTTCCATTGTTTGATTTTCACTATTTAAGCACAATTTAAACCCCAATTTCTGTTGTTCATCACGGCTGCCTCCTCATAAAGTGTAAAATCAGACAGGAGTCGGCACTCGTTGTTGGAGGCACCAGCTAAATATAAGTGAGGATTTGCAGCTGGATTGACTTAAACATCTGTGATAAATACAGTTCGAAACACCTGCGAGGCCTTAAAACACTTCCTCTCCTGACACTACGTCATTCTCTCGTTTTTTACCGGAGCCTCGGTAGCATGAAACAATATTTCCAGCGGAAACGGACTCGTAGTGAAACATTCAGAAGCGTCGTAAATCATTTCAGGCTTTTTGAAGCGCTCAAACAATAAGAGGATGCGACTCCGGCTTAAAGAGCATTTCAGACACAAAAGTCTCGTCGCCTCTCACACAGTCTGGAAAGAGAGCGGCAGAAAGAGCAGCTTGATGAGGAAATAACAGGAATTTACAGCTGTGGTGTGGGCCAAAGAAGAAATTCTTGATCCTGACACTATTTTAAGGCCAGTATGTCAAAAAGGTTTCAACGAGGTGTGACTTGACTTATTTATTATACATGTGGACATTTGTCAACAATTATACTGAACATTTTTTAAAATAAAGAACTCAGTGCAAACAATGAAATCAAAGAAAAAGGTGCAATTTGAATGAGTTTACTCCCAACGTTTTCCTCATTTAATTTTAAAATGCAGGTACACACTCAATGTAAACAAAGCACTTTTATATGAATGCACTATATATATATATATATATATATATATATATATATATATATATATATTACAGGTAGTCTCATTGAGGCACGAGAACTCATTTTCAAGAGAGACCTGTTTTGGGAGCAGATGGTGGGGGTTAAGGGTCTTGCTCAAGGGCCCTGAGTGGGGCGAATGAGGGTGGAGGGAGGTGTGGGTGTTCCACCTTTTTCACCCACATTTTGATGTTGACGGAACCGGGAGTTGTACCTGCGACTTTCCGATCACAGGACAATCTTCTAACCTCTGCGCCACCACTCCCCCATATGCACTACTATATATATTTGCTCATATATGCACTACTATATATAGTTACTCATATATGCACTACTATATATATTTGCTCATATATGCACTACTAT